GGATTCCTACTCACTCGTCATCTAGCCTAGAACACACTCCACGGAGCCACAACCCGACATGTGCTACAGAGAAAGGCTGTAGCAGAATAAAAGAGCACACACACACAAGCTGGAGTAAATACACTCAAACACTTTATCACACACACACACTAACACACGCTAAATACAATGACCGTAACAACGTGTAGTGTAGCATTTGAAATGACGACAGTGTGTGTGAGGGAGGGAAGCAGAGAGAGGGAGTCAGAGCAGTGAGACTGAGGGAGGGAAGCAGAGAGAGGGAGTCAGAGCAGTGAGACTGTGAGGGAGGGAAGCAGAGAGAGGGAGTCAGAGCAGTGAGACTGGGAGGGAGGGAAGCAGAGAGAGGGAGTCAGAGCAGTGAGACTGAGGGAGGGAAGCAGAAAGGGAGTCAGAGCAGTGAGACTGTGGGCGGGAAGCAGAGAGAGGGAGTCAGAGCAGTGAGACTGGGAGGGAAGCAGAGAGAGGGAGTCAGAGCAGTGAGACTGGGAGGGAAGCAGAGAGAGGGAGTCAGAGCAGTGAGACTGGGCGGGAAGCAGAGAGAGGGAGTCAGAGCAGTGAGACTGGGAGGGAAGCAGAGAGAGGGAGTCAGAGCAGTGAGACTGGGAGGGAAGCAGAGAGAGGGAGTCAGAGCAGTGAGACTGTGAGGGAGGGAAGCAGAGAGGGAGTTAGAGCAGTGAGACCGTGAGGGAGGGAAGCAGAGAGAGGGAGTCAGAGCAGTGAGGCTGTGGGAGGGAAGCAGAGAGGGAGTCTGTGTGAGGGAAGCAGAGAGAGGGAGTCAGAGCAGTGAGACTGGGAGGGAAGCAGAGAGAGAGAGTCAGAGCAGTGAGACTGTGGGAGGGAAGCAGAGAGAGGGAGTCAGAGCAGTGAGACTGTGGGAGGGAAGCAGAGCGAGGGAGTCAGAGCACTGATTCCTCACCGTTCTCAAGATCATTGCAACACCACGAGGTGAGATATTGCATGGAGCCCCAGGCCGATGGAGATTGACAGTTATTTTGTGTTTCCTCCATTTGCGAATAATCGCACCAACTTCTCACCAAGCTGCTTGGCGATGGTCTTGTAGCCCATTCCAGCCTTGTGTAGGTCTACAATCTTGTCCCTGACATCCTTGGAAAGCTCTTTGGTCTTGGCCATGGTGGAGAGTTTGGAATCTGATTGAGTGATTGCTTCTGTGGACAGGTGTCATTTATACAGGTAACAAGCTGAGATTAGGAGCACTCCCTTTAAGAGTGTGCTCCTAATCTCAGCTCGTTACCTGTATAAAAGACACCTGGGAGCCAGAAATCTTTCTGATTGAGAGGGGGTCAAATACTTATTTCCCTCATTAATATGCCATTTAGCAGACGCTTTTATCCAAAGCGACTTACAGTCATGCGTGCATACATTTTTGTGTATGGGTGGTCCCGGGGATCGAACCCACTACCTTGGCGTTACAAGCGCCGTGCTCTACCAGCTGAGCTACAGAGGACCACATTAAAATGCAAATCAATTTATAACATTTTTGACATGCGTTTTTCTGGATGTTTTTGTTGTTATTCTGTCTCTCACTGTTCAAATAAACCTACCATTAAAATTATAGACTGATCATTTCTTTGTCAGTGGGCAAACGTACAAAATCAGCAGGGGATCAAATACTTTTTACCCTCACTGTAAGCCCTTTCCTTGTCGGAGGATAATCCAACAGAGCAGAAATCTCCTGCAGATGGAAGCAGGCAGCATTCTAAAAGGCCTTTATAATACCAAGCTTATGTTGTCACTATCATGTTCTGTGAGCTAGTTGACTATAGCTAGCAGTACTGTGCTGCTCTGTAATGATTTAGAGGGCTAGGGGAATAGAAGGGGCTGGATAAATATTTCAAGTATGTCTTATTGTAATATCATATTATATTGTGCAATATATATATATATATACAGTTGGGAGAACAAGTATTTGATACACTGACGAATTTGCAGGTTTTCCTACTTACAAAGCATGTAGAGGTCTGTATTTTTATCATAGGTACACTTCAACTGTGAGAGACGGAATCTAAAACAAAAATCCAGAAAATCACATTGTATGATTTTTAAGTAATCAATTAGCATTTTATTGCATGACATAAGTATTTGATCACCTACCAACCAGTAAAAATTCCGGCTCTCACAGACCTGTTAGTTTTTTTCTTTAAGAAGCCCTCCTGTTCTCCACTCATTACCTGTATTAACTGCACCTGTTTGAACTCGTTACCTGTATAAAAGACACCTGTCCACACACTCAATCAAACAGACTCCAACCTCTCCACAATGGCCAAGACCAGAGAGCTGTGTAAGGACATCAGGGATAAAATGGTAGACCTGCACAAGGCTGGGATGGGCTACAGGACAATAGGCAAGCAGCTTGGTGAGAAGGCAACAACTGTTGGCGCAATTATTAGAAAATGTAAGAAGTTCAAGATGACGGTCAATCACCCTCGGTCTGGGGCTCCATGCAAGATCTCACCTCGTGGGGCATCAATGATCATGAGGAAGGTGAGGGATCAGCCCAGAACTACACGGCAGGACCTGGTCAATGACCTGAAGAGAGCTGGGACCACAGTCTCAAAGAAAACCATTAGTAAGACACTACGCTGTCATGGATTAAAAACCCTGCAGCGCACGCAAGGTCCCCCTGCTCAAGCCAGCGCATGTCCAGGCCCGTCTGAAGTTTGCCAATGACCATCTGGATGATCCAGAGGAGGAATGGGAGAAGGTCTTGTGGTCTGATGAGACAAAAATAGAGCTTTTTGGTCTAAACTCCACTCGCTGTGTTTGGAGGAAGAAGAAGGATGAGTACAACCCCAAGAACACCATCCCAACCGTGAAGCATGGAGGTGGAAACATCATTCTTTGGGGATGCTTTTCTGCAAAGGGGACAGGACGACTGCACCGTATTGAGGGGAGGATGGATGGGGCCATGTATCGCGAGATTTTGGCCAACAACCTCCTTCTCTCAGTAAGAGCATTGAAGATTGGTCGTGGCTGGGTCATCCAGCATGACAACGACCCGAAACACACAGCCAGGGCAACTAAGGAGTGGCTCCGTAAGAAGCATCTCAAGGTCCTGGAGTGGCCTAGCCAGTCTCCAGAGCTGAACCCAATAGAACATCTTTGGAGGGAGCTGAAAGTCAGTATTGCCCAGCGACAGCCCCGAAACCTGAAGGATCTGGAGAAGGTCTGTATGGAGGAGTGGGCCAAAATCCCTGCTGCAGTGTGTGTAAACCTGGTCAAGACCTACAGGAAACGTATGATCTCTGTAATTGCAAACAAAGGTTTCTGTACCAAATATTAAGTTCTGCTTTTCGGATGTATCAAATACTTATGTCACGCAATAAAATGCAAATTCATTACTTAAAAATCATAATGTGATTTTCTTGATTTTTGTTTTAGATTCCGTCTCTCACAGTTGAAGTGTACCTATGATAAAAATTACAGACCTCTACATGCTTTGTAAGTAGGAAAACCTGCAAAATCGGCAGTGTATCAAATACTTGTTCTCCCCACTGTGTGTGTGTGTGTATATATATATATACAGCTGTGGAAAAAATTAAGAGACCACTGCACATTTTTCTTATATCAGCATCTCTACATGTATGACAGCCATTCCATTCCAGTGTCTGTTGAATTCCAACACAGGCACACCTCATTCTACTGAATTAGGTACTGATTAGGTGATCACCTGAACCAAATTAATTAACGAGGAAAAGTATAAAAACCACTGCTATGGTCATCACTATCCTCTTGCAATAGGACCAGCTGGATGGCAAAAACAGTGCTAATAGAACCTCAAAAGTAATATTAATCAAAAAAGAACTATTGACCATGCCAAAAGAGTTGAAAAGGAACGTTTTGAGTGAGGAAAATAAGGGTTCAATTCCGGCTTTACTGGCAGAGACTGGCTTGGGCCAAGAAACACGAGCAATGGACATTAGACCGGTGGAAATGTGGAAATCTGAGATTTTTGGTTCCAACCGCCGTGTCTTTGTGAGACGCGGTGTGGGTGAACGGATGATCTCTGCATGTGTAGTTCCCACCGTAAAGCATGGAGGAGGAGGTGTTATGGTGTGGGGGTGCTTTGCTGGTGACACTGTCTGATTTATTTAGAATTCAAGGCACACTTAACCAGCATGGCTACCACAGCATTCTGCAGCGATACGCCATCCCATCTGGTTTGGGCTTAGTGGGACGATCGTTCGTTTTTCAACAGGACAGTGACCCAACACACCTCCAGGCTATGTAAGGGCTATTTGACCAAGAAGGAGAGTGATGGAGTGCTGCATCAGATGACCTGGCCTCCACAATCCCCCGACCTCAACCAAATTGAGATGGTTTGGGATGATTCGGATCGCAGAGTGAAGGAAAAGCAGCCAACAGGTGCTCAGCATAAATTGGAAAAGCATTCCTCATGAAGCTGGTTGAGAGAATGCCAAGCGTGTGCAAAGCTGTCATCAAGGCAAACGGTGGCTATTTGAAGAATCTGACATATAAAGTATATTTTGATTTGTTTAACACTTTTTTGGTTACCACATGATTCCAACTGCGTTATTTCATAGTTTTGATGCCTTCACTATTATTCTACATTGTAGAAAATAGTAAAAATAAAGAAAAACCCTTGAATGAGTAGGTGTTCTAAAACTTTTGACCGGTAGTGTATACATTTGCAAACATCTCAAACTGTTTTTGCTTTGTCATTATGGGGTGTTGTGTGTAGATTGATGAGCATTTGTAGTTATTTAATCCATTTTAGAGTAAGGCTGTAACTTAACAAAATGTGGAAAAAGTCAAGGGGTCTGAATACTTTCCAAATGCACTGTATTTATACATACATACATACACACAATTTAGGACAGTCACTTCTTACAGTATAATTTAAATGTAGTTTTGTGGAGACTTTTATAAATGTATAATTTAGTTTAGTTATTTTATCATGAGATATTTGTAAATCCTAAATAGATCTACTCATTTCCACAATGAAGGAATCACAAGTCAGTTAAAACAGCTGTCACCGCCCCAAGCGTATGCCATGATGACAGTGTTAGTGGCATCTATTTTTGGTAAAATAACAAGATCAGTCTTAAGATATCATCCCTGTATGGCTCCAGAGAGAACCTAGTTGACAGACGGGCAGATTGGTGGAGCTATTTAAACTGTTTGTCAATCTGTCTTTTTGACACTAATTCACTCACAGCCTTACCACCACAGGAATGAACGGTCATGTTTGACACACCTCCCCTCGTCTAGCCAATGCTTCACTGCATTAAATGTTTCCCTAAGACTGAGAAAGAGCACTCCCTCCTTCCTCTGCTTATGTTAGACTCATATGATGCAGATGGAATCCATTTTATACTCAAGCAAGGTAGGAGCCACACGAATACTACCATCTTATTTCCCTGCGGCTCTAAAACAGGTTTTCTCTTTGATCGTAAAAGTGTATTTTCCACCCGAGGAAAATGATCAACGTAACAGCCAATCCATTTGGACGATTTATTTTGCTTCCTCCTCCTTCCAACGGTTACGTCCAACTGTTTCCACACTCAGCAGCGCACCTTTTTGTCGTTCCATTGGTAGTATAATGATACTTGACTCACTGTGAGTGATTTGAGGGCTACCATGAGACGCGTGTGGACATGTTTAACTGTACTTGTGGGGAACAGATATCCTCACAAGAATAGTAAACAAACCTAAATCTGACCAACTGGGGACATTTTTTGTTGTTGTTGTTCCACACAAGGTCAAATGCTATTTCTGGGGGGGGGTTTAGAGTTAAGGTATAATTTGTGTTAGAATTAGGGTTAGGGTTAGTTTTAGGGTTAGGGTTAGGAGTTAGGATTAAGGTTAGGGTATGGGTTAGGGAAAATAGGATTTTGAATGGTTATAAATTGTGTCCCTACAAGGTTAGTTAAACAAGACTGTGTGTGTCTGCCAGTACTGTTAGACTGTGTGGTTGTCAACCTGCTGGTAGGTGAGAGAGAGCTGCTGTTGTTGAAGTCAGGTAGCAGATAATTTAATTTAAGAGGCTAATTTAATTATCTAAATTAGCCTTGTGACTTTAGCTAGCTAGCTGGCTTACTTAGCTGGCTACTGTAGCTAGCTAGCTTCTTTACAACGATTTGATGCAGTCACGACAGGCACCACCAGATGTTGTGATAGATAACCAGCAACAAGTTTGTCTAACTAGCGTGAGTCGGTTTGGCTACTTTCTTTCTCTCTCTCTGTCTCTCTCTCTGTCTCTCTCTCTCTCTCTCTCTCTCTCTCTCTCTGTCTCTCTCTCCCTCTCCCTCTCTCTCTCTCTCTCTCTCTGTCTCTCTCTCCCTCTCCCTCTCCCTCCCTCCGTGCCACACACGTACGGTCACTCACACCAGTCCCCGCTCCTCTCTCGCCCCTCCCCCACTGAACAAGCAGAGTTAGAGTCTCGAGAGCAAGTATTCATTTTAGTTTTGAGGGGGATTTTTTTTTCTCCCTCTAAAACACATGTATTTCGACTATCCGGATATCCGGAAAAAAAAAAATTATTATTCAAATACTGAAATCATTTCAAATGCCCATCCCTAGTTAGCGTAGAGGTAGCAAGCTAGCTCTTTCACTTACAAAATCTACACTGAATTGCTTACCGAGAAGACAGTGAATGTTTCCAGAGTGGCCGAGTTAGTTTTTACATAAATCTGCTTGAAAATCTATGGCAAGACTTGAAAATGGTTGTCTAGCAATGATCAACAACCAATTTGACCGAGCTTGAAGAATTTTTAAAAGAATAATGGGCAAATGTTGGAATGTGGAAAGCTCTTAGAGACTTACTTAGAAAGACTCATAGCCGTAATCACTGCCAAAGGTGTTTCTAACATGTACTAACTCAGGGGTTTGAATACTTATCGAATCAAGATATATTTGTGTTTTATTTTTCATAATTCTTTTGCAAATGTTAGACTTTTTCTTCCACTTTGACATTGAATATTTTGTTTAGATTGTTGACAAAAAAAATGACAATTAAATCGATTTTAATCCCACTTTGTAACACGAAATGTTTGGGAAAAGTCTAGATGTGTGAATACTCTCTGAAGGCACTGTAAATTGTATGTGTGTGGTACAGAGAAGGGGTAGTCATTCAGCAATCATGTTAAACACTATTATTGCACACAGAGTGAGTCCATGCAACTTACTATGTGACTTGTTAAGCACATTTTTACTCCTGAACTTATTTAGGCTTGCCATAACAAAGGGGTAGAATACTTATTGAATCAAGACATTTCAGCTTTTCATTTGTAATTAATTCAGAAAAAAAAATCTAAAAACAAAATTCCACTTTCACATTATGGGATATTGTGTGTAGATCAGTGACCCAAAATCGCAATTTAATCCATTTTAAATTCAGGCTGTAACAAAAAAAAAATGTCACACTCAGCCTGCTCTGGACCCCGCCGCTTGAAACGTCTGATCTGCACAGTTCAATTAGATTTCACATCAGGACGTCTCTGCCTGCCTGCTTACCCTGCCTGTCAAGTGCTCACTCTACCCTGCCTTCGCTCAGCCAGCACCTGCTCCCTACTCTAGTTGAGTATCTGGAGCATCAGCAATTGTGGGTTCGATTACAGGCTAAAAATGGCCAGAAACAAAAAAACTTTCTTCTGAAACTCGTCAGTCTATTCTTGTTCTGAGAAATTAAGGCTATTCCATGCGAGAAATTGACAAGAAACTGAAGATCTCGTACAATGGCGTGTACTACTCCATTCACAGAACAGCGCAAACTGGCTCTAACCAGAATAGAAAGAGGAGTGGGAGGCCCCGGTGCACAACTGAGCAAGAGGACAAATACCTTAGTGTTTAGTTTGAGAAACAGGCGCCTCACAGGTCCTCAACTGGCAGCTTCATTAAATAGTACCTGCAAAACACCAGTCTCAACGTCAACAGTGAAGAGGCGACTCTGGGATGCTGACCTAGGCAGAGTTGCAAAGAAAAAGCCATATCTGACTGCCCATCTTAATTTTTTCATTTATTGGCCAGTCTGAGATATGGCTTTTTCTCATATGGAATAGCCTTCATTTCTCAGAACAAGAATAGACTGACGAGTTTCAGAAGAAAGTTAATTTCTGGCCGTTTTGAGCCTGTAATCGAACCCACAATTGCTGATACTCCAGATACTCAACTAATCTCAAGAAGGCCAGTTTTATTGCTTCTTTAATCAGCACAACAGTTTTCAGCTGTGCTAACATAATTGCAAAATAGTTTTCTAATGATCAATACCTTGACTTGTTGTCCTTAAGCCATTTTGCCACAACTTTGGAAGTATGCTTAGGGTCATTGTCCATTTGGAAGACCCATTTGCGACCAAGCTTTAACTTCCTGACTAATGTCTTGAGATGTTGCTTCAATATATCCACATAATTTTCCTTCCTCATGATGCCATCTATTTTCTGAAGTGCACCAGTCCCTCCTGCAGCTAAGCACCCCCACAGCATGATGCTGCCACCCCCATGCTTCACGGTTGGGATGGTGTTCTTCGGCTTGCAAGCGTTCCCCTTTTTCCTGCAAACATAACGATGGTCATTATGGCCAAACAGTTCTATTTTTGTTTCATCAGACCAGAGGACATTTCTCCAAAAAGTACGATCTTTGTCCCCATTTGCAGTTGCAAACCGTAGTCTGGCTTTTTTATGGCGGTTTTGGAGCAGTGGCTTCTTCCTTGCTGAGCGGCCTTTCAGGTTATGTCGATATAGGACTCGTTTTACTGTGGATATAGATAATTTTGTACCTGTTTCCTCCAGTATCTTCACAAGGTCCTTTGCTGCTGTTCTGTGATTGATTTGCACTTTTCGCACCGAAGTACGTTCATCTCTAGGAGACAGAACGCGTCTCCTTCCTGAGCGGTATGACGGCTGCTTGGTCCCATGGTGTTTATACTTACGTACTATTGTTTGTACAGATGAACGTGGTACCTTCAGGCGTTTGGAAATTGCTCCCAAGGATGAACCAGACTTGTGGAGGTCTACAATTTTTTTTCTGAGGTCTTGGCTGATTTCTTTTGATTTTCCCATGATGTCAAGCAAAGAGGCACTGAGTTTGAAGGTAGGCCTTGAAATACATCCACAGGTACACCTCCAATTCACTCAAATGATGTCAATTAGCCTATCAGAAGCTTCTAAAGCCATTACATTTTCTGGAATTTTCCAAGCTGTTTAAAGGCACAGTCAACTTAGTGTATGTAAACTTCTGACCCACTGAAATTACTTGTGTTATGCACAAAGTAGATGTCCTAACCGACTTGCTAAAACTATAGTTTGTTAACAAGAAATTTGTGGAGTGGTTGAAAAAACGAGTTTTAATGACTCCAACCTAAGTGTATGTAAACTTCCGACTTCAACTGTACTTAGTATGGACACAGGATGCTTTACATTTTTTATCGTGTTATTAGTTGATGTTAGTTATTAGTCCCATCCTTCAGCTCCATTCAACACCTCCCATCTATCTCTTAACACCATCCATATTGGATTTCTATTTGCCATATATTTTTCAACCGTATTGCTAAAAGTATTATTATATTATTGATCGATTGACTATGACTTTTCAGATCACCCAGTAGTGCTATCTGCAGGGTTAGCTCCAGGTAAATATTGCAATCCTTCAGCCATTCCTGGACCTGTGTCCAAAAACAAGCTACAAATGGACAGTACCAAAACAAATGATCTAATGATTCTGTCTCTTCGCAGCAAAATCTGCAGAGCTGGGAAGATTGTATCCCCCATATAAATAACATTCTATTGGTAGCAATAATTTAAATTCAAAAATCCTAAATGTTAAATCCACCGTTGTTTTGCGTATCAGTTCATAAACACTATGCCATGGAATCGGTACGTCAAAATCTCTTCCCAACTATTTTGCAATCTAGATTGTTCTTTAATGCAGGGCCGACAGACAAGTTCCTTACTTTTTCCCCTTCCACTTTCCTCTTCCATTTTTGCGGTAATGCTGCAATTATTTGGTTGTAATTTTGGGTAGAGCAGACATTTCCATATGTTTTAGTTAGCTGCATGTGCGACATAACTCCACCAGTCATACCGATGATATCATTTACGAAGATTATACCTTTATTTTAAAAAAAATCAAAATGTTTTTTTTTAATCAATTAATATATTTGAGTTTTACCACAATATTTGTTGCATTATTTGTTCTGTCGTTTCTGGAGGATTAAATTGAAATTCCAACCAACTTTCTATGGCTTGTTTTAGAAATAGTGATATTTGGGAGATTATTTCCTTTTCAAATAACTGAAAGTGAGTGGTTGTAATCTGAATAAAGGGAAAAAGGCCATTCTTGAACATGGGGTGAGACAATCTTACTAGTTTACTAGAGAACCATTTCGGATTTAAGTATAACTTTTGTATGACTGAAGCTTTTAGTGATAGGTCTAATGCTTTAATATTTAATCAATTCTGTCCTCCGAATTCATATTCATTATATAAATAGGCCTGTTTAATTTTGTCTGGCTTGCGTTCCAAATAAAATTGAATATTTTTTTCTCATATCATTTTTTAAAAACTGTTCACTAGGCGTAGGCAAGACCATAAGCAAATAGGTAAACTGGGATAATAATTGTGGTCCTCTGTAGCTCAGCTGGTAGAGCACGGCGCTTGTAACGCCAGGGTAGTGGGTTCGACCCCCGGGACCACCCATACACAAAAAAAAAAATTGCACGCATGACTGTAAGTCGCTTTGTATAAAAGCGTCTGCTAAATAGCATATTATTATTTATTATTTACTAAAGAGTTAATCAGGGTGATTTTCCACAAATAGACTGGTATTTACCTTTCCATGGTAGCAAGATCTTATCTATTTTTGCTAACTTTCTATAAAAATGTATTGAAGTGAGATCATTTATTTCCTTTGGGATATGTATTCCGAGTATATCCACATCACCATTAGACCATTTTAGTGGTAAACTACATGGTAATGTAAATTCTTTATTTTTAGTGATCCATTACGTAATTTAGTACATTTATCGTAATTTGGTTGTAATCCAGAGAGGTTAGAAAATGTATCTAGATCCTCTATGAGGCTGTGGAGGGATTCAAGTTGTGGATTTAAAAGAAAAAATGAATCATCAGCGTACAATGACAGCTTTGTTTTTAAGCCCTGGATTTCTAATCCCTTGATATTATTGTTGGATCGGATTTTAATAGCTAACATTTCTATGGCCATAATAAATAGATATGCCGATAGTGGACAACCTTGTTTCACTCCTCTTGACAGTTTAAAACTTTCGGAGAAATAGCCATTATTTACTATTTTACACCTAGGGTTACTATACATGATTTTAACCCATTTTATAGGAGATCCTCCAAAATTGAAATGTTCCAGGAATTTATATATAAACTCCAGTCGTACTTTATCAAATGCCTTTTCAATGTCTGCTATGAATAGTAGGCCTGGCTTCCCAGATTTTTCATAGTGTTCTATTGTTTCCAGTACTTGCCTTATATTATCTCCAATGTATCGTCCATGTAAAAAACCTGTCTGATTAGAATGAATAATGTCCGACAATATCTTTTTAATTCTATGCGCTATACATTTTGCTAGAATTTTTGCATCACAACACTGAAGTGTAAGGGGCGGCAGGTAGCTTAGTGGTTAAGAGCGTTGTGCAAGTAACCGAAAGGTCGCTGGTTCTAATCCCCGAGCCGACTAGGTGAAAAATCTGTCCTGTAAGTCGCTCTGGATAAAGAGCGTCTGCTAAATGACTAAAATGTAAAATGTAAGGGGCCTCCAATTTTTTTAAATGGACAGGATCTTTATATTTCCCACTTGTATCCTGTTTCAGTAATAATTCAATCAGACCACCTTCTTGAGAGTCTGATAATCTACCATTTACATAGGAGTGGTTAAAACATGCTAATAACGGTCCTCTGAGTACATCAAAAAATGTTTGGTATACCTCGACTGGTATGCCATCCAACCAATGGATTATGATCATTGTATTTAATTTCCATGTTTCTGCATTGTGAACTAGTTTGAATATTTGCTTAATGAAAACTACAACCCAGCGTCCCACATAGTTCTTGACTTGATTTCTCTCATGAATGATTTGATTTCGATTTAGAGGAATGGCATGTTGGGCTCACAAAAAAAACTAACTAAATGGAATTCAAGTAATTGAACCGACATGGTCAATTCGTTGTTTAATAACCAGAAGAAAACAAATGTTGGTTAATTGCTCAGCACTTCTCTACACACTGACATAGTCGTTTAATGTCCTTTGAGTCATAAACAGGAGTTATCATTTTTACAATGAAGATAACAGCAGTTCATCAATACTCTCTCGCTATTCTTTCATGAATGAATTAATCATGAATGAATTCAAATGCAGTGGTGGTGAGAGTTGGGGGTTCAGGGTAGGGGAGAGAGAGTGGGGGGTTCAGGGTAGGGGAGAGAGAGAGAGAGAGAGAGAAAGTTGGGGGTTCAGGGTAGGGGGGAGAGAGAGAGAGAGAGAGAGAGAGAGAGAGAGAGTTGGGGGTTCAGGGTAGGGGAGAGAGAGAGTGGGGGTTCAGGGTAGGGGAGAGAGTGGGGGGGGTTCAGGGTAGGGGAGAGAGAGTGGGGGGTTCATGGTAGGGGAGAGAGAGAGTGGGGGGTTCAGGGTTCAGGGTAGGGAGAGTTGGGGGTTCAGGGTAGGGGAGAGAGAGAGTTGGGGGTTCAGGGTAGGGGAGAGAGAGAGAGAGAGTTGGGGGTTCAGGATAGGGGAGAGAGAGTTGGGGGTTCAGGGTGGGGGAGAGGAGAGAGAGAGAGAGAGAGTTGGGGTTTCAGGTTGGGGTAGAGATAGCTCAAGACTACAACCCCCAGTGTGTATTATTCGGAGTGTGTATTATTCGGGGTGTGTATTATTCGGGGTGTGTATTATTCGGGGTGTGTATTATTCGGGGGGTGTATTATTCGGGGGGTGTATTATTCGGGGGGTGTATTATTCGGGGTGTGTATTATTCGGAGTGTGTATTATTCGGGGGGTGTATTATTCGGAGGGTGTATTATTCGGGGGGTGTATTATTCGGAGTGTGTATTATTCAGAGTGTGTATTATTCAGAGTGTGTATTATTCGGGGTGTGTATTATTCGGAGTGTGTATTATTCAGAGTGTGTATTATTCGGAGTGAAACCTGAAAGGACATTAGTAGTTAATGTAGCCGTACTGCCAACCCTCAGCAAAGAGTCCTCTGATCCATGATTGCATGTGTTAATGTTCTCACGCCGCCGTTGATTTCCTGCCAGCCCTTTTGTGCAAAGGATTTATCCCTCGCTTTCTGACAGAGCTAACACACACACAACACACAACACACTTAGAATAATACACACACTCTCAGTATAACACACACACGCACATACACACAGCCCAGGCGCTGAATGTTTGATTAAAGTTCAATTGACTCCTCCAGCGGCTGGGTGAGGAACCATTTCGGTCCCTATTTGTAGCAGCAAAGCTCTCCCCGACATGTTCTTTTGTTCCCATTGAGCCGCCTGCCACCCAGGCAGCCCCAACAGCACTGCTCCTAATACCCCATCATTCAGCCAGCCATTCTGCCTCCCGCTCTCCCGGCCTCCCAGCCTCCCTGCCTAATCCTGCAACTGACAGACACACACAACCACAGCAGCGCGGCACAAACACACCCGGCTGCAAGCAAAACCTGGCATGGAGTCATGGTCTCAGTGACCTGGAGTCGTGGACTCGGTGACCTGGAGTCATGGACTCAGTGAGTCATGGGCTCAGTACAATCCAAAGCACTGTGGTATTTTCCTCGTTATGTGACACAGTGGCTGTTAGATCATCTAATAGCTAACTTGGATGTTAGTACATTAGGGAATGATTTACCATGTCTGAAATGTTTCCACTAGGATGTTTTTCAGCAACGGTGACAGTTAGTTTAGAGGCCCTCATTTTGGCCCCAGAGACTAAATGTTGCTGTTTTAAAGCAAATTTCCTGCAATTCTACACAGTTTGCCATGGAGTGGAGAGGCAGGTTTACCGTTTTAAAACTAGTTTCCTGCAATTCTACACATTTTGTCATGGGGCAGAGAGAACTACAAGAAATTGGAGAGTCATTGTGAATGTTAATGTGTGGGTGCGCTCTGTTTTCACCTGGTTCCTACACGAGTAAGATGCACAGTTCAGTGTGCTCGTTCCTTATCCTCCCTCTCTCCATGTCCTATACGGGGGGGAGTTGATAACCTTCTACTACTGCTATATGAGTGTGTGTTCTGTGGTCCTCATGGTGTGCTTTTCCTCTTTGCCTTGCAGGGTGAGTTGATAACCTTCTACTACTACTGGAAGAAGACTCCTGAGGCAGCGTCGTCCCGAGCCCACCGTAGACACCGCCGCCAGCCTGTGTTCCGACGCATCAAGACGCGCACCGCCTCCACCCCCGTCAACATCCCATCTAGACCACCCTCCTCAGAGTTCTGTAAGTAGTATCCTAACCCTAACCCGTACCGCCTCCACCCCCGTCAACATCCCATCTAGACCACCCTCCTCAGAGTTCTGTAAGTAGTATCCTAACCCTAACCCGTACCGCCTCCACCCCCGTCAACATCCCATCTAGACCACCCTCTCAGAGTTTGGAAGTGTATCCTAAACACTTACGTACGCATGCAGTCAACTCCATCTAGACCACCCTCCTAGAGTTCTGGTAATAGGAACATTAGTTGCCATAAAATTATTATGAGTCAAATGCCAGAGCAGGCAACGAAAACATCACACAGGCATAAACTGGTAGTTCGGTAGCTCGGGTAATTTACCACTATTAAGAAGGCTTGCATGGATAACACTAGTAGTATGCACAGTTGCAAATAAACACTGTAGTTAGGCAGAGATTGCATTGTAACACTAGTAGTAATGGCAGCATTGCATTGATAACACTAGTAGTATGGCAGCATTGCATTGATAACACTAGTAGTATGGCAGCATTGCATTGATAACACTAGTAGTATGGCAGCATTGCATTGATAACACTAGTAGTATGGCAGCATTGCATTGATAACACTAGTAGTATGGCAGCATTGCATTGATAACACTAGTAGTATGGCAGCATTGCATTGATAACACTAGTAGTATGGCAAGCATTGCATGATAACACTAGTAGTATGGCAGCATTGCATGATAACTAGTAGTATGGCAGGCTATTGCATTGATAACACTAGTAGTATGGCAGCATTGCATTGATAAACACTAGTAGTATGGCAGCATTGCATTGATAACACTAGTACGTATGGCAGCATTGCATTGATAACACTAGTAGTATGGCAGCCATTGCATTGATAACACTAGTAGTATGGCAGGCATTGCATTGATAACACTAGTAGTATGGCAGCATTGCATTGGATAACACTAGTAGTATGGCAGCATTGCATTGATAACACTAGTAGTATGGCAGCATTGCATTGATAACACTAGTAGTACGGCAGCATTGCATTGATAACACTAGTAGTACGGCAGCATTGCATTGATACACTAGTAGTAGGGCAGCATGGCATTGATAAACACTAGTAGTATGGCAGCATTGCATTGATAACACTAGTAGTAATGGCAGCATTGCATTGATAACACTAGTAGTACGGCAGCATTGCATTGATAACACTAGTAGTATGGCAGCATTGCATTGATAACACTAGTAGTATGGCAGCATTGCATTGATAACACTAGTAGTATGGCAGCATTGCATTGATAACACTAGTAGTACGGCAGCATTGCATTGATAACACTAGTAGTACGGCAGCATTGCATTGATAACACTAGTAGTACGGCAGCATTGCATTGATAACACTAGTAGTATGGCATTGCATTGATAACACTAGTATATGGCAGCATTGCATTGATACACTAGTAGTAGGCAGCATTGCATTGATAACACTAGTAGTATGGCAGCATTGCATTGATAACACTAGTAGTATGGCAGCATTGCATTGATAACACTAGTAGTACGGCAGCATTGCATTGATAACACTAGTAGTAGGCAGCATTGCATTGATAACACTAGTAGTACGGCAGCATTGCATTGATAACACTAGTAGTATGGCAGCATTGCATTGATAACACTAGTAGTATGGCAGCATTGCATTGATAACACTAGTAGTATGGCAGCATTGCATTGATAACACTAGTAGTACGGCAGCATTGCATTGATAACACTAGTAGTATGGCAGCATTGCATTGATAACACTAGTAGTATGGCAGCATTGCATTGATAACACTAGTAGTATGGCAGCATTGCATTGATAACACTAGTAGTATGGCAGCATTGCATTGATAACACTAGTAGTAATGGCAGCATTGCATTGATAACACTAGTAGTATGGCAGCATTGCATTGATAACACTAGTAGTACGGCAGCATTGCATTGATAACACAGTAGTATGGCAGCATTGCATTGATAACACTAGTAGTATGGCAGCATTGCATTGATAACACTAGTAGTATGGCAGCATTGCATTGATAACACTAGTAGTATGGCAGCATTGCATTGATAACACTAGTAGTATGGCAGCATTGCATTGATAACACTAGTAGTAGGCAGCATTGCATTGATAACACTAGTAGTAGGCAGCATTGCATTGATACACTAGTAGTTAGGGCAGCATTGCATTGATAACACTAGTAGTATGGCAGCATTGCATTGATAACACGAGTAGTATGGCAGCATTGCATTGATAACACTAGTAGTATGGCAGCATTGCATTGATAACACTAGTAGTATGGCAGCATTGCATTGATAACACTAGTAGTATGGCAGCATTGCATTGATAACACTAGTAGTATGGCAGCATTGCATTATAACACTAGTAGTACGGCAGCATTGCATTGATAACACTAGTAGTACGGCAGCATTGCATTGATAACACTAGTAGACGGCAGCATTGCATTGATAACACGAGTAGTATGGCAGCATTGCATTGATTAACACTAGTGTATGGCAGCATTGCATTGATAACACTAGTAGTATGGCAGCCATCAGGCACTTTGATAACACTAGTAGTATGGCAGCATTGCATTGATAACACTAGTAGTATGGCAGCATTGCATTGATAACACTAGTAGTATGGCAGCATTGCATTGATAACACTAGTGAGAGGTTTAGAACAGTACTATTGGTGTTTGATAACAATGTGTGTTCTGTTCTCCTCCAGTGGATCTAAGCTCAGCCAGTGAAGATGACTTCGACAGTGAAGACAGTGAGCAGGAACTGAAGGGATACGCCTGCCGACACTGTTTCACCACCAGTAAGATGATGCACGCACACACACACACACACACACTCAAACACGCTGAAACACAAGACACGCTCACTTTCTCTCACACACAGATATACACACACCGTCATATGGACCTGTGATCCTCATGATATTGTGTGATCAGTAGGAATCCCACCTCCTACAGAGAGAGGACTGTGTGTCTGGAGCGTTGGGAGCCTGCCTGAGTACATCAAATTACAGCTGACAGCCCATCTCTCTACCTCATTATCACACACACAGCTGGTTATCTCTGGTCTCCCCTAACTGGCAGAGCCAAGAAGTGATTTCAGATGTACACCTGTCTGTCTGAGTGGTATATCTCTGAGTACACCCCAGGGGGTTCAGATGTACACCTGTCTGTCTGAGTGATTTAATGACTCGTTTGTTAGTAGAGTATCTGTCAGTGACTGTGTAAGACCTCTCTCACCATTGTAAACCACACCACTGTCTCTCTCAGCCTCTAAGGGACTGGCACCACGGTGTCAACATTAAAACAGGCTTTATACATCCAGATGTAGCCGACTATACCCCGTCTCTGACTAACAGAAACCGCTATCTCGATGACTAAATAAATGTCCTGTCTCCGTCTCTCTCTCTCAGCCTCTAAGGACTGGCACCACGGTGTCAACATTAAAACAGGCTTTATACATCCAGATGTAGCAGACTGTACCCCATCTCTGACTAACAGAAACCGCTATCTCAATGACTAAATAAATGTCCTGTCTCCGTCTCTCTCTCTCAGCCTCTAAGGACTGGCACCACGGTGTCAACATTAAAACAGGCTTTATACATCCAGATGTAGCAGACTGTACCCCATCTCTGACTAACAGAAAGCACTATCTCGATGACTAAATAAATGTCCTGTCTCCGTCTCTCTCTCTCAGCCTCTAAGGACTGGCACCACGGTGGCAGAGAGAACATCTTGTTGTGTACAGACTGTCGTATCCACTTTAAGAAGTACGGCGAGCTGCCCCCCATCGAGAAGCCAGTGGACCCGCCCCCGTTCATGTTCAAACCTGTCAAAGAGGATGAGGATGGACTCAGCGGGAAGCATAGCATGAAGACCAGACGCAACAGAGGATCGGTACGGAGTACACACACACACACACACACACACACACACACACACACACACAGTCACACACACACACACACACACACACACACAGTCACACACACACACACACAGTCACACACACACACACAGTCACACACACAGACACCGTCACACACACACACACACAGACACAGTCACACACAGTCACACACACAGACAGTCTCTCTCTCTCTCTGTCTCTAGTTCTCTCTCTCTATCAGTCTGTCTCTGTCTCTAGTTCTCTTTCTCTCTATCAGTCTCTCTCTCTTTCTGTCTCTAGTTCTCTCTCTTCTCTCTCGCTGTCTCTAGTTCTCTCTCTGTCTCTCTCTCTTTCTCTCTCGCTGTCTCTAGTTCTCTCTCTGTCTCTCTCTCTCTTTCTCTCTCGCTGTCTCTAGTTCTCTCTGTGTCTCTCTCTTTCTCTCTCGCTGTCTCTAGTTCTCTGTCTCTCTCTCTCTCTCTCTATTCTCTCTCCTCTCTCTCTCTTCTCTCTCGCTGTCTCTAGTTCCTCTCAGTCTCTGTCTCTCTCTACTCTTTCTCTCTCGCTTGTCTCTAGTTCTCTCTGTGTCTCTCTCTCTTTCTCTCTCGCTGTCTCTAGTTCTCTCTGTCTCTCTCTTTCTCTCTCTCTCTCTTTCTCTCTCGCTGTCTCTAGTTCTCTGTCTCTCTTTCTCTCTCGCTGTCTCTAGTTCTCTGTCTCTCTCTCTCTCTCTCTTTCTCTCTCGCTGTCTCTAGTTCTCTCTGTGTCTCTCTCTCTTTCTCTCTCGCTTGTTCTGTTCTCTCTCTCCTATCTTCTCTCTCACTTGTCTCTAGTTCTCTCTCTGTCTCTCTCTCTCTCTCGTCTCTAGTTCTCTCTGTCTCTATCAGTCTCTCTCTCTCTCTCTCTCTCTTTCTGTCTCTAGTTCTCTCTCTTTCTCTCTCGCTGTCTCTAGTTCTCTGTCTCTCTCTCTGTCTCTCTCTCTTTCTCTCTCGCTGTCTCTAGTTCTCTGTCTCTATCAGTCTCTCTCTCTTTCTGTCTCTTGTTCTCTCTCTTTCTCTCTCTCTAGTTCTCTTTCTGTCTCTATCAGTCTCTCTCTCTAGTTCTCTTTCTGTCTCTCTCTTTCTCTCTCTCTAGTTCTCTTTCTGTCTCTATCAGTCTCTCTCTCTAGTTCTCTTTCTGTCTCTATCAGTCTCTCTCTCACACTTTTATTCTGCATGGAGGGACTTATACTCACAGTACACATTCATCAACACACACTATCATCCACACGCACATTCATCAACACACACTATCAAGTAATTTTTGGCCTGTGTTCCCTTGGCCTGTGTTCCCTTGCTCCGTGGTAATTCTGGTTTTGGCCTGTGTTCCCTTGGCCTGTGTTCCCTTGGCCTGTGTTCCCTTGCTCCGTGGTAATTCTGGTTTTGGCCTGTGTTCCCTTGCTCCGAGGTAATTCTGGTTTTGGCCTGTGTTCCCTTGCTCCGTGGTAATTCTGGTTTTGGCCTGTGTTCCCTTGCTCCGTGGTAATTCTGGTTTTGGCCTGTGTTCCCTTGCTCCGTGGTAATTCTGATTTTGGCCTGTGTTCCCTTGCCCCGTGTGTGTGTAGATGTCGACGCTCCGTAGTGGCCGTAAGAAGCAGACAGCCAGTCCTGATGGACGAGCGTCTCCAACCAATGAGGACCTGCGGTGTAGTGGCCGTACCTCCCCCTCCGCAGCCTCCACAGACAGCACTGACAGCAAGACCGATCCCATGAAGAAACCCAGCAAGGTAGAGTACACATACAGAGACACACCCACAAAGACACACACACACACACACACACAAAGACACACACACACACACAGAGACACACACACACACACACAGAGACACACACACACACACAGAGAGACACACACACAGAGACACACAAAGACACACACACAGAGACACACACACAGAGAGACAGACACACACACACACACACACACACACACAGAGACACACACACACACAGAGACACACACACACAGACAGACACACACACACACACACACACACACACACACACACACACAGAGACACACACACACACACACACAGAGACACACACACACAGAGACACACACACAGACACACACCACACACGAGACACACAAAGACACACACACAGAGACACACACACAGAGACACAAAGACACACACACACACAGAGAGACACACACCACAACACAAACAGAGACACACACACACACACACACACACACACACAGAGACACACACACACACACACAGAGACACACACAGAGACACACACACACATAGAGACACACGCAGACACAGACACACAGAAAGACACACACACACAGAGAGAGAGAGACACAGACAGACACACACACACAGAGACACAGACAGACACACACAGAGATACACACACACACTACCGGTCAAAAGTTTGGACACACCTACTCATTCAACGGTTTTTTTTCTTTATTTTTACCAATTTTCTACATTGTAAATAATCGTGCAAGAACATCAAAAACTATTTAATAACACATATGGAATCATGTAGTAACCAGAAAAGTGTTAAACAAGTGTAGTGTATATAAACTCAGCAAAAAAAGAAACTTTTTCAGGACCTTGTCTTTCAAAGATAATTCGTAAAAATCCAAGTAACTTCACAGATCTTTATTGTAAAGATTTCCCATGCTTGTTCAATGAACCATAAACAATTAATGAACATGCACCTGTGGAACGGTCGTTAAGACACTAACAGCTTACAGACGGTAGGCAATTAAGGTCACTGTTATGAAAACTTAGGACACTAAAGAGGCCTTTCTACTGACTCTGAAAGAAAGGGTCCCTGCTCATCTGCGTGAACGTGCCTTAGGCATGCTGCAAGGAGGCATGAGGACTGCAGATGTGGCCAGGGCAATAAATTGCAATGCCCATACTGTGAGACACCTAAGACAGCGCTACAGGGAGACAGGGCGGACAGCTGATTGTCCTCGCAGTGGCAGACCTCGTGTAACAACACCTGCACAGGATCGGTACATCCGAACATCACACCTGCGGGACAGGTACAGGATGGCAACAACAGCTGCCCGAGTTACACCAGGAACGCACAATCCCTCCATCAGTGCTCAGACTGTCCGCAATAGGCTGAGAGAGGCTGGACTGAGGGCTTGTAGGCCTGTTGTAAGGCAGGTCCTCACCAGACATCACTGGCAACAACGTCACCTATGGGCACAAACCCACCGTCGCTGGACCAGACAGGACTGGCAGAAAAGTGCTCTTCACTGACGAGTCGCGGTTTTGTCTCACCAGGGGTGATGGTCGGATTCGCGTTTATCGTCAAAGGAATGAGCATTACACCGAGGCCTGTACTCTGGAGCGGGATCGATTTGGTGGTGGAGGGTCCGTCATGGTCTGGGGCGGTGTGTCACAGCATCATCGACTGAGCTTGTTGTCAATGCAGGCAATCTCAACGCTGTGCATTACAGGGAAGACATCCTCCTCCCTCATGTGGTACTCTTCCTGCAGGCTCATCCTGACATGACCCTCCAGCATGACAATGCCACCAGCCATACTGCTCGTTCTGTGCGTGATTTCCTGCAAGACAGGAATGTTAGTGTTCTGCCATGGCCAGCGAAGAGCCCGGATCTCAATCCCATTGAGCACCTCTGGGACCTGTTGGATCGGAGGGTGAGGGCTAGGGCAATTCCCCCCAGAAATGTCCTGGAACTTGCAGGTGCCTTGGTGGAAGAGTGGGGTAACATCTCACAGCAAGAACTGGCACATCTGGTGCAGTCCATGTGGAAGGGGATGCACTGTAGTACTTAATGCAGCTGGTGGCCACACCAGATACTGACTGTTACTTTTGATTTTGACCACCCCTTTGTTCAGGGACACATTATTCCATTTCTGTTAGTCACATATCTGTGGAACTTGTTCAATTTATGTCTCAGTTGTTGAATCTTGTTATGTTCATACAAATATTTACACATGTTAAGTTTGCTGAAAATAAACGCAGTTGACAGTGAGAGGACGTTTCTTTTTTTGCTGAGTTTACATACATACACATGTATAGACTCACAATCTCACAAACAGGCTTGCTCATGAGTGTTTAGGTCCTTAGCACTCTGTATCATTCAGATTCTTTACCAGGTGAATATGTATGAAAGCCTGATTGGAAATTACAGTAATGATATGATGGATGGATTGATTGATTGATTGATTGTCATCAGAAGATTAAGGAGGAGTCTCCTATGAAGAGTGCCAAACGCCAGAGAGAGAAGGGAGGAGCCTCAGACACAGAAGACGCAGACAACAGGACAAGCGTCAAAAAGTCCAAGACGCAGGTGACATCACTAGTACATCTCATACCAGTGTTTGTTGGGTAGCTGTGCGGGTTGAGGAATAGTGTCTAATGTCTGGGTTTGGGCTGTGTTGTGGAAACGACGAAGAGGCCAGAGCCTTTATGCACAAAGCCTCTCGGAGTAGGAGTGCTGATCTAGGACCAGGTTTCGCCTTTTAGATCAAAATGAATAAGACAGGAGAGACCTGATCCTGGATCAACACTCCTACTCTGAGACGCTTTAGATACGGGCCCTATATGTTATTACAGTGCTAATACCAAGCCTTTTAGTTCTCGTCATTTGATATTTATTCGCCCCAAGTGTAAGGAGATGTGTTCATGATAACAACCATTGTGGGGTATGGAATTCACGCCTCTCTTCCCTGTTCCGCAGGAGCTGGGTCGGTCCGACTCGCCGTCGGAGGGCGAGGGCGAGAGCTCCGACGGGCGTAGCGTCAACGAGGAGTGTAGCAGTGATGCTAAAGACATTGACCAGGACAACCGCAGCTCCTCGCCTTCCATCCCCAGCCCCCGAGACGGGGAGAGCGACTCGGACTCCTCCGCCCAGCAACAGCTGCTCCTACTGCAGAGACAAGAGAGGGAGAGGGAGAGGGTGAGAGAGGGACAGGGGCAGTCACAGCACCCTCCGGTTATCCAGCCATGTCAGCCAGGGACCTCCGGTGGTCGCTCCACCACCCCTCCATTACAACCCACGTCCTCCTCAGCTCCCTCACTGGTCCCCCCCTCCTCCGCACCCCCCACTTCTCTTCCACTGCCTCTACCGCCTCCTATGCCCCAACAGGCCGGCCCCCTCTCTCTCATCCAATCAGGGGCGTCCCTCCTCCCCCAGAGGCGGCCCTCCCCCTCGCCTCATTCTCCACAGCAGGGGATGTCTCAGGTTCCACCCTTAGGACCGCCAGGCTCCACCCAGTTGCTACCGAGCGCGCTCCACGGCCCGCTACCCCACCCATCATCCATGCCCCACCCACTCCAGACTGGCCCCTCCCACCTGCCCCACCCTCACTCCCTGCCCCCTCAAAGCTTCCCATTGGGCCCCCAGTCTCAGGTCCCGCCCTCCCCGCTGCCTCTCAGCCAATCGCAGCAGCCGTCTCACAGGGCCCACACCCCCCCCAGCCAATCATCGTCATCCCAGGGTGGCTTGTCCAATCAGCCGCCCCGCGAGCAGCCCCTACCCCCCGCCCCTTCCATGTCCATGCCCCACATCAAGCCACCTCCCACCACCCCCATCCCCCACATGCCCAACCGCGACCCTCAGTCCCACAAACACGGGCCTCCACACCTCTCAGTGCCCCCCTTCCCCCAGATGCCCTCCAACCTGCCCCCTCCACCTGCCCTCAAGCCCCTCTCCTCCCTGTCCACCCACCACCCTCCCCCTGCCCACCCTCCTCCCCTCCAGCTCATGCCCCAGGGCCCAGGCCAGCAGCTCCAGCCTCCATCGGCCCAGCCCCCTGTCCTCACCCAGTCCCAGAATCTCCCCCCTTCAGAGAGAGAGCGAGGCAGCCAGCACCACCCTACTCCTCCGCCTCCTCTACCCCCCTCCGGACCATCACCGTCCTCCCACCCCAACACACCCCAACAGCCCCCGTTCCCTCCTCACCCCTTCGCCCCCGTCCTGCCCCTCTCCTCCGCTGGCTGCGCTCCCCCTTCCTCATCCTCCTCTCTACCTCCAGTCCTCCAGCCTCCTCCCTCTTCCTCCTCCTCCATCTCCATGCCCCTCCCAGCCTCTGTCGGCTCCGCCTGCCCAGGTCCCGCCCCTCCCACCTGTACACATCAAGGAGGAACCTCTCGACGAATCAGAGGAGCCCGAGAGCCCTCCGCCCCCTCCGCGGAGCCCCTCCCCCGACCTACCATCTCAACCACGCCCAGCCCATGTCCACCCAGTCCAGCACGTATGACCTGAAGCGAGCCACACACACACACTGTCTGAACACACACACACTGTCTGAACACACACACACCACACGTGGAACACACACACCACACCCACACTCGTCGAACCCACCCACACACATGTCTGAACCACACACACACACATGTCTATTGAATGTGACTACCTAGTGTGTCTTCAGGGCCAGATCACCATGAAAGTAAGGTCTTAATAGAGGAGAGAGAATCTGTTAAAGGGTAGAGAATCTGTAAGAGGTAGAGAGAATCTGTTAAGAGGTAGAGAGAATCTGTAAGAGGTAGAGAATCTGTTAAAGAGGTAGAGAGAATCTGTAAGAGGTAGTGAGAATCTGTTAAAGAGGTAGAGAGATCTGTAAGAAAGAATGTAAGATAGAGAATCTGTAAGAGGTAGAGAGAATCTGTTAAGAGGAGAGAGAATCTGTTAAGAGGTAGAGAGAATCTGTTAAGAGGTAGAGAGAATCTGTTAAGAGGTAGAGAGAATCTGTAAAGAGGAGAGAGAATCTGTTAAGAGGGAGAGAGAATCTGTTAAGAGGTAGAGAGAATCTGTTAAGAGGTAGAGAGAATCTGTAAAGAGGGAGAGAGAATCTGTTAAGAGGTAGAGAGAATCTTAGAGTTAGAGAGAATCTGTAAGAGGAGAGAGATCTGTTAAGAGGTAGAGAGAATCTGTAAAGAGGTAGAGAGAATCTGTAAAGAGGTAGAGAGAATCTGTTAAGAGGTAGAGAGAATCTGTTAAGAGGTAGAGAGAATCTGTTAAGAGGTAGAGAGAATCTGTTAAGAGGTAGAGAGAATCTGTAAAGAGGTAGAGAGAATCTGTTAAAGAGGTAGAGAGAATCTGTTAAGAGGTAGAGAGAATCTGTTAAGAGGTAGAGAGAATCTGTTAAGAGAGAGTTAAGAGAGGAATCTGTTAAGAGGGAGAGAGAGGAAGAATCTGTTAAGAGGTAGAGAGAATCTGTTAAGAGGTAGAGAGAATCTGTTAAGAGGTAGAGAGAGAATCTGTAAGAGGTAGGAGAGAGAGAAATCTGTTAAGAGGTAGAGAGAATCTGTTAAGAGGTAGAGAGAATCTGTTAAGAGGTAGAGAGAATCTGTTAAGAGAGTTAGAGAGAATCTGTTAAAGAGGGATGAGAGAGAATCTGTTAAAGAGGTAAGGTAGAGGGAAAATCTGTTAAGAAGGTAGAGAGAGAATCTGTTAAGAGGTAGAGAGAATCTGTTAAGAGGTAGAGAGTTAGGTAGAGAATCTGTTAAAGAGGTAGAGAGAGAAATCTGTTAAAGAGGTAGAGAGAATCTGTTAAGAGGTAGAGAGAATCTGTAAGAGGTAGAGAGAATTGTTAAGAGGTAGAGAATCTGTTAAGAGGTAGAGAGAATTGTTAATAGAGGTAGAGAGAATCTGTAAGGGGTAGAGAGAATGTTAGTAGAGAGAATCTGTTAGAGAATCTGTTAAGAGGTAGAGAGAATCTGTTAGAGGTAGAAGAGAGAATCTGTTTAGAGGTAGAGAGAATTGTTAAGAGGTAGAGAGAATCTGTTAAGAGGTAGGAGAGAATCGTAAAGAGGGTAGAGAGAATCTGTAAGAGGGAGAGAGAATCTGTTAAGATGGGTAGAGAGAATCTGTTAAGAGGTAGAGAGAATCTGTTAAGAGGTAGAGAGAATCTGTTAAGAGTGGTAGAGAGATCTGTTAGAGGTGAGATAATCTGTTAAGAGGGTAGAGAGAATCTGTTAAGAGGTAGAGAGAATTGTTAAGAGGTAGAGAGAATCTGTAAGAGGTAGAGAGAGAATCTGTTACGAGGTAGAGAGAATCTGTAAAGAGGTAGAGAGAATCTCATGAGCACAGAGATATGGAGTGGTCAGACTAGAGATACTGTTGAATAATCAGCTAACTTGCCAAAGGCTATTTATTCTCATCAGATATTCAATTACATCCATTTTCTGTTGAATTTGGTCTAAAGACACAGTCTCTTCGTGGCTAGCCATTTAGATGTATTCATCACATTTTCTATGCTAATGTTTTTTTGTGATTTACAAATGTTAAGAAAATGGGTGTTCATGAAGAATGCTATTGACTCATGAATACAAGTCGTATGAGCCTTATGAGAATTGTAGATGTTAGCAAGCTGTGAATCCTGGAATATTTTATGTGTATTTCCATGAAGTGTTGTTAGCTAAACGTTACTTCCTTACTATATATTAATGTGTATTTCCATGTTATTTTCTATTTGTGTGTCTAGGTTCTACAAGCACCTGGACCGGGGCTACAACACGTGTGCTAGAACAGACTTCTACTTCACGCCTCTGGCTGCGTCTAAACTGGCCAAGAAGAGGGCGGAAGCACTGGAGCGGGCCAAGAGGGAGGCAGAACAGAAAGCCCGGGAGGAGAAGGAGAGGGAGAAGGAACGGGAGAGGGAACGGGAAAGAGAGAAGGAACAGGAGAGAGCGGCGGTGAGTGTTCGGTCTAGTTTGTCTCTTGCTTAACTTCACACTGCGAAAAGAAAACACATTCTGTTCTAAAACATCCTACATGTTTCTCATTCCCACTGGAGTATTTCTTTAACCTTTCCCTTACAACCTGTTATAACCTCCTTATAACCTGTTACAACCTATTATAACCTCCTTATAAACTGTTCCACGCTTACAACCTATTGTAACCTCCTTACAACCTGTTACAACCACCTTACAACCTATTATAACCTCCTTATAACATGTTCCAAGCTTACAACCTATTATAACCTCCTTATAACCTGTTACAACCTATTATAACCTTATGACCTGTTATAACATAATCTGTTACAACCTATTATAATCTTTTTATAATATGTTACAACCTATTATAACCGTATGACCTGTTTCAACCTATTATAACCGCTGTATAACCTGTTACAACCACCTTACAACCTATTATAACCTCCTCATAACTTGTTACAACCTATTATAACTTCCTTAACCTGTTACAACCACCTTACAACCTATACCCTTCTTACATGTTATGCCCTCTTTATAACATGTTATAACCTCCCTGTGTGTGTGTGTGACGTTTCCACATATCTATTTGTTACAGAAAGCCTCCAGTTCGTGTCACGACGGCCGTATGGGCGACTCCCAGATGGTTGGCTCCGCCCACATGCGTCCTCCCTTCGACGGCCCCCCCACCTCCATCGCCGCGGTGCCCCCTTACATCGGCCCCGACACGCCCGCCCTGCGCACCCTCAGCGAGTATGCCCGCCCTCACGTCATGTCCCCAACCAATAGGAACCACCCCTTCTTCGTCTCCCTCAACCCCAACGACCCCCTGATGGCCTATCACATGCCTGGCCTCTACAACGCCGACCCGGGCATGCGGGAGCGCGAGCTGCGGGAGCGGGAGATGAGAGAGAGAGAGATGAGGGAGAGGGAGCTGAGAGAGAGGATGAAGCCTGGGTTCGAACACAAACCCCCGGAGTTAGAAGGCATGCACCCCTCGGCTAACCCCATGGAGCACTTCGCCCGGCATGGCGCCATCTCCTTACCCCCCATGGCGGGACCACACCCCTTCGCCTCCTTCCACCACGGCCTCAACCCCCTGGAGAGGGAGCGTTTGGCGCTGGCTGCGGGACCCCAGCTCAGACCGGACATGAGCTACCCGGAGCGGCTGGCGGCGGAGAGGCTGCATGCTGAGAGGATGGCGGCGGTGGCTAACGACCCTATCGCCAGGCTTCAGATGTTCAACATCACGCCTCATCATCACCAGCACTCCCACATCCACTCACACCTACACCTGCACCAGCAGGACTCGCTGCACCAAGGTGACACGCCTGGCCATACATAAACATTATTACTAGATTAAGATCAAGTTCAAGTTTATTTGCCACTTCTAGTGAAGCATTTATATCAATATAATACTGATTAAAACAATACTGTAAGCAAATATGGCAATATATACAGTGCATTCGGAAAGTATTCAGACCCCTTGACTTCCCACATTTTGTTACGTTACAGCCTTATACTAAAATGGATTCCAAAAAAAATTCCTCATAAATCTTCACACTATACCCCATAATGACAAAGCAAAAACAGGTTTTTAGAATTTTTTTTTACAAATGTTTTCAAAATACAAAACTGAAATATCACATTTACATAAGTATTCAGACCCTTTCCTCAGTACTTTGTTGAAGCACCTTTGGCAGCGATTACAGTCTTGAGTCTTCTTGGGTATGACGCTACAAGCATGGCGCACCTGTATTTGGGGAGTTTCTCCCATTCTTCTCTGCAGATCCTCTCAAGCTCTGTCAGGTTGGATGGGGAGCGTCGCTGCACAGCTATTTTCAGGTCTCTCCAGAGATGTTCGATCGGGTTCAAGTCCGGTCTCTGGCTGGGCCACTCAAGGACATTCAGAGACTCGTCCCGAAGCAACTCCTGCGTTGTCTTGGCTGTGTGCATAGGGTCGTGGTCCTGTTGGAAAGTGAACCTTCGCCCCAGTCTGAGGTCCTGAGTGCTCTGGATCCTGACTAGTCTTCCAGTCCCTGCCGCTGTAAAACATCCCCACAGCATGATGCTGCCACCACAATGCTTCACCTTAGGGATGGTGCCAGGTTTCCTCCAGACGTGATGCTTGGAATTCAGGCCAAAGAGTTCAATCTTGGTTTCATCAGACCAGAGAATCTTGTTTCTCCTGGTCTGAGAGTCCTTTAGGTGCCTTTTGGCAAACTCCAAGCGGGCTCTCATGTGCTTTTTACTGAGGAGTGGCTTCTGTCTGGCCACTCTACCATAAAGGCCTGATTGGTGGAGTGCTGCAGAGATGATTGTCCTTCTGGAAGGTTCTCCCATCTCCACAGAGGAACTCTGGAGCTCTGTCAGAGTGACCATCGGGTTCTTGGTCACCTCCCTGACCAAGGCCCTTCTCCCCCGATTGCTCAGTTTGGCCGGGTGGCCAACTCTAGGAAGAGTCTTGGTGGTTCCAAACTTCTTCCATTGAAGAATGATGGAGGCCACTGTGTTCTTGGGGACCTTCAATGCTGTAGAAACGTTTTGGTACCCTTCCCCAGATCTGTGCCTCGACACAATCCTGTCTCGGAGCTCTACGGACAATTCCTTCGACCTCATGGCTTGGTTTTTGCTCTGACATGCACTGTCAACTGTGGGACCTGTGTGTGCCTTTCCAAATAATGTCCAATCAATTGAATTGACCACAGGTGGACTCCAATCAAGTTGTAGAAACATCTCAAGGATGATCAATGGAAACAGGATGCACCTGAGCTCAATTTTGAGTCTCATAACAAAGGGTCTGAAACATTTCTAAAAACCTGTTTTCGCTTTGTCATTATGGGGTATTGTGTGTAGATTGATGAGTAAATGTTTTTATTTAATCCATTTTAGAATAAGGCTGTAACGTAACAAAATGTGGAAAAAGTCAAGGGGTCTGAATACTTTCCGAATGCAATGTACATATTACAATATAATATTATTGCATGTACAGTATGTCACATATTGGGTGTTAGGTTACTACTATCTGGGTGATAGTGTAACCGGTGTGATGGCTAGCTAGTTAGCGGTGCGCGCTAGTAGCGTTTCAATCGATGACGTCACTCGCTCTGAGACCTTGAAGTAGTTGTTTCCCTTGCTCTGCAAGGGCCGCGGCTTTTGTGGAGTGACGGGTAACGGTGTTTCGAGGGTGACTGTTGTCGATGTGTGCGAAGGGTCCCTGGTTCAAGCCCTGGTCGGGGCGAGGAGAGGGACGGAAGCAACACTGTTACATTGATGCTGTTGACCCGGTGTTACTGCTATCTGGGTGTTACTGCTATCTGGGTGTTACTGCTATCTGGGTGTTACTGCTATCTGGGTGGTAGGTTACTGCTATCTGGGTGGTAGGTTACTACTATCTGGGTGTTAGGGTTACTACTATCTGGGGTGTTAGGTACTGCTATCTGGGTGTTACTGTATCTGGGTGTTAGGTTACTATATCTGGGTTGTTAGGTTACTGCTATCTGGGGTTTTACTACTATCTGGGTGTTAGGTTACTACTATCTGGGTGTTAGGTTACTGCTATCTGGGTGTTACTACTATCTGGGTGTTAGGTTACTACTATCTGGGTGTTGGTTACTGCTATCTGGGTGTTAGGTTACTGCTATCTGGGTGTTAGGTTACTGCTATCTGGGTGTTAGGTTACTACTATCTGGGTGTTAGGTTACTGCTATCTGGGTGTTAGGTTACTGCTATCTGGGTGTTAGGTTACTACTATCTGGGTGTTAGGTTACTACTATCTGGGTGTTAGGTTACTGCTATCTGGGTGTTAACTGCTATCTGGGTGTTTAGTGTTACTACTATCTGGGTGTTAGGTTACTACTATCTGGTGTTAGGTTACTACTATCTGGGTGTTAGGTTACTACTATCTGGGTGTTAGGTTACTGCTATCTGGGTGTTACTACTATCTGGGTGTTAGGTTACTACTATCTGGGTGTTAGGTTACTGCTATCTGGGTGTTAGGTTACTGCTATCTGGGTGTTAGGTTACTGCTATCTGGGTGTTACTGCTATCTGGGTGTTACTGCTATCTGGGTGTTACTGCTATCTGGGTGTTACTGCTATCTGGGTGTTAGGTTACTACTATCTGGGTGTTAGGTTACTACTATCTGGGTGTTAGGTTACTACTATCTGGGTGTTAGGTTACTAGCTATCTGGGTGTTAGGTTACTGCTATCTGGGTGTTAGGTTACTGCTATCTGGGTGTTAGGTTACTACTATCTGGGTGTTAGGTTACTACTATATGGTGTTAGGTTACTGCTATCTGGGTGTTAGGTTACTTGCTATATGGGTGTTAGGTTACTACTATCTGGGTTTGTTCCTGCTATCGTTGTGTTACGGTTACTGCTATCTGGGTTGTTAAGGTTACTTACATCTGGGTGTTGTTACTCGCTATCTGGGTGTTAGGTTACTACTATCTGGGTTGTTGGTTACTACTATCTGGGTGTTAGGTTAACTTGCTATCTGGGTTGTGTTACTACTATCGGTGGGTGTTAGGTTACTGCTATCTGGGTGTTTACTACTATCTGGGTGTTAGGTTACTGCTATTCTGGGTGTTACTTTACTTATCTGGGGTGTTAGGTTTACTGCTTATCTGGGTGTTACTGCTCTCTGGGTGTTAGGTTACTACTATCTGGGTGTTAGGGTTACTGCTATTGGGTGTTAGGGTTACTGCTATCTGGGTGTTAGGTTACTACTATCTGGGTGTTAGGTTACTACTATCTGGGTGTTAGGTTACTGCTATCTGGGTGTTATTACTATCTGGGTGTTAGGTTACTACTATCTGGGTGTTAGGTTACTACTATCTGGGTGTTAGGTTACTACTATCTGGGTGTTAGGTTACTACTATCTGGGTGTTAGGTTACTACTATCTGGGTGTTAGGTTACTGCTATCTGGGTGTTAGGTTACTGCTATCTGGGTGTTAGGTTACTGCTATCTGGGTGTTAGGTTACTGCTATCTGGGTGTTAGGTTACTGCTATCTGGGTGTTACTGCTATCTGGGTGTTAGGTTACTACTATCTGGGTGTTAGGTTACTGCTATCTGGGTGTTACTACTATCTGGGTGTTAGGTTACTGCTATCTGGGTGTTACTGCTATCTGGGTGTTAGGTTACTACTATCTGGGTGTTAGGTTACTACTATCTGGGTGTTAGGTTACTGCTATCTGGGTGTTAGGTTACTACTATCTGGGTGTTAGGTTACTGCTATCTGGGTGTTACTTGCTATCTGGGTGTTAGGTTACTGCTATCTGGGTGTTACTGCTATCTGGGTGTTAGGTTACTGCTATCTGGGTGTTAGGTTACTGCTATCTGGGTGTTAGGTTACTACTGTGGCATGCAGTGACTGTATTGTATTATGATGAACTGTAAATACTGTATATCAGTGTACTAGGATATATTATGATGTACTGTATATCAGTGTATTATGATGTACTGTATATCAGTGTATTAAGATGTATCGTGATGAACTGAGTAACCTGACCATATGGCGTTCTGACTCTGTGCAGGTGGTGGTGAATGTCTTGTGTGTCCTCCCGGTTCGGGGGGGCACCCCCTCGTAGACCCTCTGGCAGGAGGCCCCCACCTCGCCCGCTTCCCCTACCCGCACGGCGCAATCCCCAACCCCCTCCTGGGTCAGAACCCACACGAACATGAGATGCTGCGACACCCTGTCTTCGGTAAAAACACCAACACCTTTCGATCAACAACACAGATCTCAATCTAGATCATATCAATATCAGACCTTGGCCTGATCCTGTTGCGTTCCTCTATTTGTAGTCAAGCCAAATGGCCTGATCCTTGTTGCGCTCCTCTCTCCAGGTACTCCGTACCCCCGGGACCTTCCTCCCCAGATGTCTGCAGCCCACCAGCTCCAGGCCATGCATGCTCAGTCTGCAGAGATGCAGCGACTAGCTATGGAGCAGCAGTGGCTACATGGACACCACCACATGCACGGGGGCCCGCTGCCTGGACAGGAGGATTATTACAGGTCAGAGATGAGACACACTCACTGAAACACACACACACACACACACTTGAAAACTCACACTGAAACACACACACACACACACTTAACCATTTACACACACTCTCACACATTCACATTTCAACACATTCATTACACACACTGACAGAAGAGGAAAAGACTGCCCTAGACAGCATCAGTCCAGAGATGGGCTTTAAAATAAGAACAATTACATCAAATTACAAAACAAATATTAATCATAACATAAAATGGTTCATCTGTGGTTATAAATTCTGTTGCTAATTTAAAAAGATTTTCATTTGTGTGATTTCTGTAAGATCATGCAGACGTTTCAAGTGATCTCGAGTTCCAGAAATTGACTCCTTTTACAGAAAAACCTGATGGCAAGTGATGTTTTACCTTAAGAATTAACTCTGCGCTTTGCATTTTCAGAGTATGTGACCCTGTAGGGTCTATATATAGACTGAATGTAGTCACTTTTTATATATATAGGGTTGGGAGCAAGTCTGTATTAACATTTTAAGTTTCGCATTGGACAAATATACAGACATTTTCCAAATTTGACATATTACGTTTCTTTGCAATTTTACTGATGTGGTGAATTCTAAAATTGGTAAATGCACACTTGTACAAGGATTGCAGCGGCTTTGTTCCAGATTCTCCAGCTTGCGACCAACTTGTAATACAACACCACCTGTGAAAATATCATAGTGTGCATATAAACGTCGTTAGTGGTGCAGGGGCTTTCTGTTATATTTCCAGATGATAAGAGTGGGGATGCTGACGTACGTTTGTTTGTTTGTTTGTTTGTGTTTTAGCCGGCTGAAGAAGGAAAGCGACAAGCAACTGTAACCGACCAATAGGGACGCAGGAAGTTGCCTAGGACACAGGAAGTACACACGCGGGAACAGGAAGTAGTTACAGAGCAGTCTGTCTGTCAGTCAGAGGAACTTGATCCTCCGAACATTTCCCGTTACGAAGAACAACAGAAATTGAAGAACATTGAGAGACTTTGTTTGGTGTAACTATAGCCTTCAAGTAGTGACAACGACCTCGAGACTGATTTGTGACTTTCCTGCATGAAAACTACTCTAAAGCGTCCACAACGTGTTTTGTAGGCAGCACACTTTGTCACTGTGCTAGTGGATGGAAAGGAAAGAGACTAGGAAGTGACGGTCCAGACATTATATCCACGGAAAGATTTAAAAACAAAGTGCTATCTTATTTTAATACATTGTTGGAGGTTTTCATCATTTGAACGAAAAGCTGCAGCATGGCATTTTTGAGTCTGTAAATAGTATATATATACATATAATTATTATAATTATTATTATTGTTGTTACTAGACGTGGACTCAAGTCATTTCTAAACCTCCAATATAGTACTGTGTTCTGAAGCATTAAGCCTTGTTTTAACGGGGTGGGGGGTGATGTGGGATACCTCAGAGAGAGCTGTGTAGCCCCAGACTCTCACACACACGACTGTCCCATCCATCTCCTTTCATGATACACCCCTTGACAAGCACCATATTGTCAGACAGAATGCCTGAACTTACTGGGTTGAGTTAATGATTCGAGACTCTTGGAAGAGGAGTGACTGTATCTCAGAGTCACTGAGTCTTCTATGGATCAGCATATGCCCCTGTCCTGTCCTCTACAAGACCCCGATGCAGACACCATCAATTGCCCTCAAAGGAAGACTAGATGGAATCCCTCGGCGCTTTTAATTGGTTTTGACACTCTTACTCGACATCAGTATTGATTCAATATAATTAAAGAAACATTTTAAGTTTAGGTCGATTTTAAAACCTGTTTCACGTTTTCTTTTACAATGTTTTAAATTGTCTTTGACAAAAAAAAAAATGGTATCGTTCGTGTCTTTAAACTACACTGAGGTCCCAACAACTGTTCTGTTCTGTTCTGACTGTGGTTGAGTGGAGTTATACAAGGGTGCTAGAGGAAACTGAAGGTGGTGGTGGTGGTGGTGATGAAGCTGGTTTCCTCCCTCCTCTACTTGTTCAAGTGTGGCTGCTACAGCAAGGCTTCTCTAGCCTGGTATGTTTGTGCTGTCTTGACAACTCCTAGGGACCAGGCTAGGGGTTCTCCTCCACCGGCTTCTCCTCCATGAGGTGATCCTGGTATTATGTGTGCTGTGCTGCCATATTCACTGTGACTTAACGAGGCCTAACTATATGGGAGGAGGTGGGTGGGTCCAGTGCTGGGACCAGACACTAACTAACAGGCCTAACTATATGGGAGGAGGTGGGTGGGTCCAGTGCTGGGACCAGACTCTAGACAGTGGAGCTGTAATGGTGGTGGTCCTGTTCCCTTCAGGCTCTCGCTGCTCAGCCTTCCCCTCAGCCTGCACAGCTCCTCCTGGCCTCCCCTTCAAGGCCAGGGGTGGTTCGTGTACTGTACGCCATGCCATTGACTGTTCTGTTCAGTTCACCTGACTGTCATACCAGTGTACTGGCTGTTAGCCCTAACCCTGCCTATGTTAGCCCATGTTTGAGTTCCTTCTACTCCGTCTCTGGTCCGTCTCTGGTCCGTCCACCACGAGCATGTGCTATGTTTGTCTCCGTCTCTGTATCGGTTTGTCTGTCTGTCTGTTCCATGCACATTTTCTCATCTCATGTCTGCCTCCTCCTCTTTCTGACACCACCCTCCTCTTTCTGACACCCTCCTCCTCCTCCTGTCTGACACCACCACCCCCTGCCTCCTCCTGTCTGACACCACCACCCTACTCCTCCTCCTGTCTGACACCACCACCCTCCTCCTCCTCCTGTCTGACACCACCACCCTCCTCCTCCTGTCTGACACCACCACCCTCCTCCTCCTCTTGTCTGACACCACCACCCTCCTCCTCCTCCTGTCTGACACCACCACCCTCCTCCTCCTCCTGTCTGACACCACCACCCCCCTCCTCCTCCTGTCTGACACCACCCCCCCTCCTCCTCCTCCTGTCTGACACCACCACCCTCCTCCTCCTCCTGTCTGACACCACCACCCTCCTCCTCCTCCTGTCTGACACCACCACCCCCCTCCTCCTCCTGTCTGACACCACCACCCTCCTCCTCCTCCTGTCTGACACCACCACCCTCCTCCTCCTCCTGTCTGACACCACCACCCTCCTCCTCCTGTCTGACACCACCACCCTCCTCCTCCTCCAGTCTGACACCACCACCCCCCCTCCTCCTCCTGTCTGACACCACCACCCTCCTCCTCCTGTCTGACACCACCACCCTCCTCCTCCTCCTGTCTGACACCACCCCCCTCCTCCTCCTGTCTGACACCACCCCCCTCCTCCTCCCGTCTGACACCACCACCACCCCCCTCCTCCTCCAGTCTGACACCACCCTCCTCCTCCTCCTGTCTTTTAGTGTTCCTTCTCTCTCTGTCTCTCCTCTCCTCCTAACCCTTGGATGTTAGGTGTTGTTGTCAATGGTTGATCTTCTCATTTCCAAGCAGCAATAGCAGAATGTATATACATTCTGACCGGCTAAGATTTATATATAGAACTGGTATCTTGAAGCTTATTGTATATATTAGTAGTCACCATGGGGATGACGACATGACAATGTAAACAAAAAGTAGAAATAATAAGAAAAAGTGTGAGTCCTGTGTTCTCTCTCCATTTGAGTATTTTGTAATTTTTTTGGAAAAATGTGTGGAATTAAAATAAACGATAGTTACACCACAAGACATCTTTAGTTTATTGGTTTTTATTTAGACTAGACACTATTTACATTACTCAGAACAGTAGCTGTTGGTGGTGCATGCTGGGAAATGTTATCATCATTAGTGGACACAACATGTACACTAAAATTGCAATCTGTGGCGGCGCACTTCAACGACGACGGCTGTCATTTTGAGAATACATTATTCCTCTACTGCTCCTCCAGAGATAATGTAGCCTGGTGAATCCAGACTGAACGTTACTCCAGAGATAATGTAGCCTGGTGTATCCAGACTGAACGTTACTCCAGAGATAATGTAGCCTGGTGAATCCAGACTGAACGTTACTCCAGAGATAATGTAGCCTGGTGAATCCAGACTGAACGTTACTCCAGAGATAATGTAGCCTGGTGAATCCAGACTGAACGTTACTCCAGAGATAATGTAGCCTGGTGAATCCAGACTGAACGTTACTCCAGAGATAATGTAGCCTGGTGAATCCAGACTGAACGTTACTCCAGAGATAATGTAGCCTGGTGAATCCAGACTGAACGTTACTCCAGAGATAATGTAGCCTGGTGAATCCAGACTGAACGTTACTCCAGAGATAATGTAGCCTGGTGAATCCAGACTGAACGTTACTCCAGAGATAATGTAGCCTGGTGAATCCAGACTGAACGTTACTCCAGAGATAATGTAGCCTGGTGAATCCAGACTGAACGTTACCCCAGAGATAATGTAGCTGGAACGAAGTACCAGAGATAATGTAGCCTGGTGAATCCAGACTGAACGTTACTCCAGAGATAATGTAGCCTGGTGAATCCAGACTGAACGTTACTCCAGAGATAATGTAGCCTGGTGAATCCAGACTGAACGTTACTCCAGAGATAATGTAGCCTGGTGAATCCAGACTGAACGTTACTCCAGAGATAATGTAGCCTGCTGAATCCAGACTAAACATTATGTTGATTATTATTTTGAAAAAAATGTGAAAGTAGCGTTTAATCTGGATTCACTAGGCTAGAAATGACGCCCTGCTCCTTAAAATCCCTTTACTCCCTGGGCTGTCATGTGATCATGTGAGAAGTGCTGCTTTGTCAGGGGGGGATGCCTGTTGTTTAGCTCAGTGGCTCACCTCCCCACAAGACACAAGGAAACAGCAGAGAGAGCTCAGAGCGGCAGCTCCACTGGCTGGTTGAATAAATGATTGAATCTCCTCTTCGATGGAACGACTGTGACACAATGTCAACCCAAATCACATCCTCACCATAATCTGGTGGTGTACCCCTCAGGCATGGGCACAGAGATACACACACACACTGAAATATGGTCTGGAAACATTATTGGTATGAATAGCAATGTGAAAGGATGCTGTTCTGTCTGGTTTAAAAGATCTTGATACAGAGCCTCTTTCCCCATCCCTCTCTCCCTCTTTCCCCATCCCTCTCTCCCTCTTTCCCCATCCCTCTCTCCCATCCCTCTCTCCCTCTTTCCCCATCCCTCTCTCCCTCTCTCCCATCCCTCTCTCCCTCTTTCCCCATCCCTCTCTCCCTCTCTCTCCCATCCCTCTCTCCCTCTCTCCCATCCCTCTCTCCCTCTTTCCCCATCCCTCTCCTCCCTCTTTCCCCATCCCTCTCTCCCCTTTCCCTCCCTCTCTCCCTTTCCCCATCCTCTTCCCTCTCCCCTCTCTCCCTCTTTCCCCGATCCCTCATCCCTCTCTCCCCTCTTTCCCCATCCCTCTCCTCCCTCTTTCCCCATCCCTCTCTCCCTCTTTCCCTCCTCTCCTCCCTCCCTCTCTCCCTCTTCCTTTCCCCCATCCCTCTCTCCCTCTTCCTCTCTCCTCTCTCCTCTTCCCTCATCCCTCTCTCCCTCTCTCCCTCTCTCCCTCTTTCCCCCCTCCCTCTCGTCCCTCTTCCCTTCCCCATCCCTCTCTCCCTCTTTCCCCCTCCCTCTCTCCCTCCTTTCATCCCTCCTCTCTCCCCTTCCTCTCTCCATCCTGCCCTCTTCCCCTCACCAAATCCCTCTCTTCCTCCCTCTTTCCCTCTCCCCTTCTCTCCCTCCCCTCCTCCTTCCCATCTCTCCTCTTTCCCCATCCCTCTCTCCCTCTTTCGGGCTTCACAGATGTTGGCTTCACAAATTGGCTTCACAGATGTGTGTCGTTAGGCAGGTGTATTCATTTGTGTCGTTAGTGAATGCAGGAGAGCTGTTGATGAATAGTATTGATTCTAGACTTTGCTATTGCCTTTTGGAGGTTGCTGTTGGGGTGTGACAACATGAGGAAGACAGCAGTGTCGATGCAAATTAAGCTGGCCGTCATAAGGCTCAGAAATGAAAAATCAATCAATCAGGAACATTGCAAAAACCCTGGCCATGCCCAAGTCAACCGTTTGGTTCATCATTAACAAGAAAAAAACTACCGGTGAACTCAATTATGTCAAAAGACCCGGTAGACCGAGGAATACCACTGTAGTGGATGAACCAGAGAATTCTCTCTATGGTGAAGAAACCCCCCCTGACAACAGCCCAACAGATCAAAAACACTCTCCTGGATGCAGGTGTAGATGTGTCAAAGTCTACCATACGTAGAAGACTACACCAGCAGCACTACAGAGGGTACACTACAAGATGCAAACCACTGATAAACCAGAAGAACAGAAAGGCCAGATTACAGTTTGCTAAAAAGCACATAAAAGAGCCCCAAGAGTTCTGGAAAAAAGTATTGTGGACAGATGAGACAAAGATTAACATGTTCCAGGGTGATGGAAAGAGGAAAGTGTGGAGAAAAAACAGAAATGCCCATGATCCAAAGCATACCACCTCATCCGTGAAACATGGTGGAGGGGGTGTTATGGCTTGGGCCTGTATGGCTGCCAGTGGAACAGGCTCACTTGTCTTCATCGATGATGTGACTGCAGACAGAAGTAGAACAATGAATTCTGAAGTCTACAGAAATGTTTTATCTGCTCAGATAAAACCAAATGCCTCCAAACTCATTGGACGGCACTTCATCATGCAACAAGACAATGACCCTAAACATACTGCTAGAGCAACGAAGGGGATTTTGATGGCCAAAAAGTGGAAAATCCTTGACTGGCCGAGTCAATCACCGGATCTGAATCCAATTGAACATGCATTTTACATGCTGAAGAGGAGACTGAAGGCAATACGTCCCCGAAACAAGCAGGAACTGAAGATGGCTGCAGGACAGGCCCGGCAGAGCATCACCAGGGAAGATACCCAGCGTCTGGTGATGTCGATGCATCGCAGACTTCAAGCAGTCATTGCATGCAAAGGATATGCGACCAAATATTAACAATAATTACTTTATTCTACATTATGTTAAACTGTCCAATGTTTTTTGATTCCCGAAAATTACAAAAGCTTCTATAATTTCTAAACGGTTCATCCGATATGTATGAAAATACCCTCAAATTAAAGCTGACAGTCTGCAGTTCACCCTCATTGTAATTGTATCCTTTCAAACTCAGTGCTAGAGTACAGAACCAAAATAACAAACAAATGGTCACTGTCCAATGAATTATGGTGCTCACTGTATCTTTAGTTCTGTCCTACAGCGGGGTAGATCTGTGACAGGTTGCACTGTGGCTGGGCATCTATTCTTAAAGCGTTTGGTTGACAGGGATCCTGGTGGAGAAGGAATCTGCACCTCTGAATTTGAGATTACAGAGGCATGGAAATGTAACTTCAGATTATGCATGTTTGACAGGTTCAAGTGAAATGTAATTTCAGATTATGCATGTTTGACACGTTCAATTGA